TTAATATGCAAGTTACTTACAAGAAGGCTTGGTATGGGAAACAAAGAGCATTGGAGAAGTTGCACGGAATTTGGGAAGAATCCTATGATTTTTTGCAAACATTCTTGCGGGTGGTCAAGAGAAAAATGCCAACATCGGTGATTGATTGGGTAAGAGTTCCTTCGACTCATCCAGGTCATTCAAGATTTCAGCGAGTATTCTGGGCTTATGGACCTTGTATAGATGGATTCAAGAATTGTCCAGGCGTCATGGTTGTTGATAGAACATTTCTTACTGGAAGAATAAAGGAGTGGTACTCATGGCGAGCTCATTTGATGGCCGGAAGAATATTTTTCCAATTGCATTTGCCATAGTGGAGAGCTAGAATACTGAGAGTTGGCCATGGTTCATGAGGAACGTTCAGGGTTTGACTGATCGAAATGATGTATGCATCACCTCAGATAGACATGAAGAACTCTATGAAGCCATGAATAACATCGGAAGAGGTTGGGAGTGGAGGTGGTGCATGCGACACTATGCAAGCAATTTGCAAAGGAAGACTAAAAGCAGAATTATGTATAAGCAACTATTTCGAGTCGGTAAGCTTTCTTCATTTAATTTTGTTATTTATTTTCATGTAATTTTGTCATGAATTTATCTAACCCGTGTGATGGTTTATTTTGTTAGCCGGAGAAAAACGGTTGGAGAAGTTCGATCGTCAAGTTGAGCAATTTAAGAAGGTGGCCGCTGATAGAAATATTTCATGTGATAACTGGGTGGATCAACATCAGATTCGTTGGAGTTTAGCACATGATAACTACAATGGTGGGCGTCGTTGGTCTATCCTGACATCCAACATGGCAGAAAGCATCAATGGTGTTTTCAAAGGTATTCGTGCACTTCCTATAGCTTCTCTTGTGCAACATACCTATTGGCGATTGGTGGAGAAATTCGATAAGTACAGGTTGGAGACAGGAGCAGAAATCAGAAGTGGCGGTTCACAGTACTCCACCAAGTGCGAAGAGCTGATGAAGCCGTGGTCACAAAAGGCAATTGGACATTCTGTGACAGCTCTTGATCGACGTCAAGGCATCTATGTAGTTCAGACTCCTCCCAACAATTTCAACATGACGAGGTCAAACACACTCACAGTGCACTTTGACGATAAAAACCGGGCGGGGTTTTGCACCTGTGGTAAATTTCAAGGAAATAAAATTCCTTGCTCTCATGCCATTGCAGCTTGCAACCGAATGGGGGCTAATGCGTATAGGTTTGTCAACGATGTCTACAAGCTGGAAACAGTGATGACTTGTTATGGGACAAGTTTCGCACCTCTTGGTGAACCTAAGGGTTGGAAGAAGCATAATGGTCCTATTCTCCATCCTAATGTGCACATGATTAGGAAGTCGGGGAGGCCACGAGTTACAAGGATTCACAACGAGATGGACTGGCCAAGGGAGGGTGCATCACACCAAGTGTGTAGCAACTATAACCAAGAGGGACATAATGCATCAGCCTGCGGTGGCCAAGCTAGTGGGAGTGGGAGCAACCAAGGAGGGAGTGGTGGCCAACGAAGTGCGAGAGGTGGTAGAAGAGGAAGTAGAGGTAGACGTGGCTGAGAGGTGGTAGAAGTTGTTGTATTTCTTTTGATTTATCATGTAGAAGTTGTTGTTTGTTTGAAGATGTTGTTGTTTGGTATGTAGTTGTTATGGTTTTTATCGTTAATAATAATAATAACAATCCAAAAATAATAGACTAAAGGAAGTACATAATAATAACAATCCAAAAGTAATAGTATCAAGGAAGTACATAATAATAACAATCCAAAAATAATAGTCTCAAAGAAGTACATAATAATAACAATCCAAAAATAATAGTCTCAGTGACGACCACCACGACGACCACCATGCTCCACCACTAGATGGCCGCCAGTACCACACCTCGCAGGCACCCTGTTACGTGGAGGTCTACCATCATACTCCTGGGGCTCATCTTCCTCGACACCACCATCTTGATCCTGTGTACCGAACATATCATCCTGCTGAGACTGAAGATGCTCCTCAGGCTGACCGCCACCATGCTGCTGAGACTGAAGATGCTGCTCATAATTCCACATCGTCTCCCGAAACGTCTCATCACCCTCTAGGTTGCCCCACAGGTCGGGAGACGAGGCTTCTCTAGTATCACCACCTGAGGCCATGTTTCCCATCGTAGCATGTTGCGGTGTATGGAAGCTATCCTCTGACTAATAGAAGCTCGAAGACGCATCTGACTCAAACTGTTGCCGTCGCGGCGGCTGAAAGCTCGAGGAAGGATCTGACTGAAACTGCGACCGAAGCGGATTAAACTGGAAGCTCCTCGATGTAGGCCGGACGGGCTGTGCTCGCTGTCGATCTGAAACCCGGAACCGGTTAGGTACATCACGATGCTCATGTAGCTGTCTACGTGGCCTATGCTTCTGTCTGAACTGTGGCTCTGGGACGACCGGGCTCGGTGTAGGATCAGTACGCTCTGGCCAGGCAGTCATGACGGGCTGATCATAATGGGGCTGTACAGGTACTGTGAGATCAGGGTATCTACGCTGCTCAAAACCTAGAGTAGCAACCCCGGATGCCATAAGGTTGGCCAAGTCCTCACACTGGTCGGGGGTCAGCCCTCCAGCCCGTACACCGTTACGCAAACTCACCTCAGCATGCTCGATAGTGTCGTACCAAAAAACACCAACAAAATGTCAGATATTTCACACAGTTAACAACAAATTAAGCAAACAAATCAAATAACTAACCAATGCCTCCGCTGCAGCTCCTCTCTGTGTGTCGGAACGTCTGGTGACATCTCTATACCACTCCATATGCTCCGAGTGGTAGGCTAACTCCTCATCAGTGTATGGAGCCGTCGCTACAAACTCGTGTCGACGGTTCCAGAAAGCAAGCGACTCTCTGGAGGCGTGTACCAACTGCTGCCCACGCGATGGCCCACGAGTAGCCTGACGAAGAAAAAACCTAACCTCAGTCTCAGGATGTGGCGGATGAGGCTCATGCTGCCTCATGCCAAACTGTCGGAGCACGCGGTCTGGATGATGCCACATCACCTATGAAAAGCAGATAAGTGGCATTACTGCTCGAAATGTCTCAGACTGTATCACACTACCTCTGAGATGAAGTGCTCTCTCAAGGTAAGGTTGCCACTATATAAAAAAAATTAACGTTATTATCCCTAAATCTAAAAAAATAAAACAAATGAAAACTATTCTATAAAATTGAATGTTATATACTAACCACCACGGTGTCCATCGCGTCAAACCACAGCTTGTACTGGAATAGCTGGTCACCATACTAACGACTGTTGGCCGAAAGCCATCGAAGACCACGTGGGGATGCATCCTCGGTGGCATGTGCCCTCGTCTCTGAATGTCGAGGTGCCAGATGTGGGAATCGCTCCCACGCCCAGAACTGCAGTAGGTCTACCAAGGTCACCGCCTAGAGAAGTGTCGGTATGCGTAATGTGCAAAGTCGACCTACCCATCTCACAGTACAGGTAGTATAAAACAGCAGCTCCCCAGGCGAACAGTCCAGCTCTCTGCCAATCCTCAATCAGAAGTAGGTACTGTAGGTGCACCGTAACTCCAGACCGATCCGGGAAAAGTACACCTCCAATCAGAGATACCGCATAAGCTCGTGCAAACTGCTCTATAACCTCTTGTGATGCATTTTCCGGCAGATGACTGAATTCATCCCTCAGCCAAACAATCCTAACGACAGCGACATCGCCTGAAAGATCAGCCGGAACCCGTCCTAACAGTCTCAAACAGATCGCCGACCACTCCTCATCCGGTATATCAACTACGACGGCATCACCGTCGATCGCCAGACCGGACAGTGTAACAACGTCCTCTAACGTGATCGTGATCTCACCAAACGGTAGATGGAAGGTCGACGTCTCAGGTCGCTACCGCTCTACGAGCGCAGTAATCAAACTCGCATCGGGGTTCATAGGGACTAGGGGCACGACACTTAACAAGCCTGCCGCTTCAAGATATGGCCGATAAAGCTCATGGTACGTTACTAAAATGGTCGTACCTCGAACATGGTAAGATCGATCACCAGCCTATAGTGCACAAAACTTATATTAATTCATTTTCATTCGTAATATTTCTAATTTCACCTAATAAATTCTAATCTATCTAATCTAATATCAAATTATACTAATTTCAAAAAATTTGATACGTAATCCTATTCTAATTTCAGTACAGTTCAGTTCACCAACTAAAATAATCTAATTAACTTTACATGAATAATTATCAAATACTTACCTCGTTTGTCCAAACAGAGTCGATACGATGTTGGCCATGTCCACAAAGAAGTGTCGGATCGACCGGACTTGGATCAATTGTCGTCGGCGGTAATCTCATCGAATAAGGATCCATAAGCATAGGAACTGCAAAAACAAAGCAACTAAACATTAAAAAAAAATCCAAGCCGCCGGCGAGAGTCTCACCGCGCAAACGGCCGCCGACTCCACCACGACCTCTCCAGCCTCTCCCCCTGCCGCTGCCGGCGACTGGTTCTTCGTCGGAGGACATCTCTGTCGGGCGATGGCGCTTCACTCTCCAGCGGCGGCGCTCTACTCGGCAGCGGCGGCGCCTGTCTCTGCGGCGTCGGCGCCTCGGTCGTGGGCGGCAACTCTTGTCGGCTGCTCTGGTTCTCTGGTTCGGGGGGGGGGGGGGGGGGGGGGGGGGGGGGTGTGGAGGGAAGAAGAAGAAGAAGAAGAGATAAGGTGGAAGAGGGGCCCTAGGGTTCGGCGATTTATAAAAAAAAAAGAGGGTGAGGCGGGGCGCTGGAGACTCGGGCGCCAGCGCCTAGAACTGAGTAAAAAAAATAGAGTGAGGCGGGGCGCTTGAGACTCGGGCGCCAACGCCCAGAACTAGGTAGAATATTTAGAAACCGCTGTCCCGCCTGAGTCTCTGATGGTCCCGCCCCAAACTTTACTATAAAACACAATATTTGTGTCAATTCTTTTTAATCCGCAATATTTGTGGCAATTTAAAAAAAAACACAATATTTGTGTCATTAACCCTCTTGGAACCGATCCAATAGTTAACATCCCAACCTATGCCGAAAATGAAATAGATTTTTTTTTTTTTGGGTAATAAAAATGAATTAGATTATAGTAGAAATCATCAGAATTAGTGGTGCGAATATGACCAAAGAATGAAGTGTAAAACAAAGAAGAACGACTCGTTTTTTGTCACAGTTCTAGAAGGAGATAGTGAAACGTGATTAACGAACCATTTGCGACCTGAAGAGGGATTAGAGTATTTATTAATTAGTATTTACATTACTTTAGGCAGATGATATGGAAGCATCGGAGCCGTACGCGGTCACTGTCGCCAACTTTTGCCCAACCACCGCCGGCCGTCGGATCGGCGACCGCCGATAAAGACCAAAAAGAAACCCATACCGGCAACTCGTTCACACTCCTGAGTCCAGGCTGACTCCACTCCTCTCCATTTTATAATTCACCACTTTGAAATATCCCAATCAATCGGATTTCTCTGTTCTCTCCATCCATCCTTCCTCTGAAACCCCACTCCGCCGCCGTCCACCGCGATGTCAGCCCAACCGCCGCCGCCGCTACCGCTACCGCTGGACTTCTCCGCCGTCCTATCCGAATCGAAGCGCATAATCAACGCCCACTCCCGCCACTTCCTCGCCCTCTCCGTCCTCTTCCTCCTCCCTCTCTCCTTCTCCGTCACCGTCTTCTCCACCATCCACAACCTCCTCCTCCACCACCACCCCTCCGGCCACCGCCCCGAATCCCTCCTCTCCCGTCCGCTGCCGCTCCTCCCCAGCCTAGCCCAGTTGGACTCCCAATCCTCCGATCAGTTCCCTTTCCCCCACCACCACCACCACGACCATGATTTCCAGCTCCCAATCGAAACCCTAGCCCTCGTCGCCGGCTTCGCCCTCTTCTTCTTCGTCTTCACAATACTCGCAATCGGATCCATCAGTTACAGCGTCGTCCACGGATTCTACGGCCGACCCGTCAAGCTCGTCTCCGCCATCAAATCCGGGTTCAATTCCTTCTTCCGACTCTCCATCACCCACATCGTCGTCAAGCTCCTGCTCTCCCTGGTGGCGCTCCTCTTCCTCTGCTCTTTCTACTTCGTAATCAAGGGTCTGGAATTGGTGTGCCTCGAAATCGACCCCGATTCGCCCTACTTCCTCGCTCTTGCCCTCGTCTACTCCGTCGTCCTGCTCGCGGTGATCCTCTATTTCAAACTCAATTGGTCCCTCTCTTCCGTCATCGTCGTGGCGGAATCTAGCTGGGGAGTTCGGGCATTGAGGCGCAGCGGGTATTTGGTGAAAGGGATGCGGCGAGCGGTTCTCTATTTCTTTCTCTTGTTTGGACTCGCCTCCGGGATTTTGACTTGGACCAGCTCGATTGCAGCGGCGAAATGGGGCGGTGGCGACGCCATTGGCGGGAATCAAGGATGGAATAGCTGGTTCTTTGTGGCGCAGATTGTGGTGACTTCGGCTCTTTTGACTCTGATTCTGCTCTACTTCTTCGCTGCACAGACGGTTCTGTATATGTACTGCAAGGCTGTTCGCGGGGAGCTTGCTTCAGAGATTGCGCAGGAATTCGCGAGGGAGTACGTCTGCTTGCCTTTCGATGATGAGAAGGTGCCTCATCTTGTTTCTGTTGTCTGCACTTGACAAGCAAATAACAAGTTTGAAGCTTTTCCCCTTTTGTTTCTGTGCCTCTGTCATTCGTTCTAGTGTCACAGACTCGGTGTTTTGTAACTCAGGACCATGGAGCTTGTGAATAACAGTACGTTATAGACTTCAGTTGTGCTGATGGAACCATTGATGGAGAGTTTGTTTCTAATATGCTGGTTTCTTTCTGGGTTTGGTTTGGCTTGATCTAATGTATAATAGATGTAAGATAACTTGAGGAAATCCATATCAATTTCATTTGAATACTATCAATGAAGTTCTGGGTCATATTTTCTTTTGTTGAGGAAGCCATTCATGAGACACAGTTGAACTTTATGAACACTACGCCAAATCTCTCCAGTTCCCAGTTAGGGAAAGCTGTTCTTGCAAAATGCAGTAGATCTCAGGGAGAGCAAAAGGTTTTTTTACAGAATGAGCTCAATTGGCATTTGTTTCTTCCACCTTGAACCACCACCCGCCTTCTGAATCCAGAATTCAGAAGCCAAAACTAACAGATATTAATAAGCTAAGTGAATTGGCCAACTACCCAGATATCCCTTTGGCCCAAGAATGAAAGAATTGTTTTACCACTTGGGGGAGAAAACCAAAACGAAGCAGAAGACCGGCAAACAAAAACGTTAGCTTAAAGCTTTCCACTATAAGTTTGGCTCGACGATGGTGCTGCTGCTTTCAGTCTCATAATCCCTTCATCCTGATTCGCTCGGAAGAGAAGATTGCTCCAGTTGGTCGATCTCTGCACAATCCTGGTAGGAACCCTATCACTATCTTCACCGCCAGAAGCTTCATACCCATCACTTGTAGATCTCGAGAGTGGGAATCCGCTGTTAGAACCACCCACAATTGGAGGGAGACCAGTGAGCCTCCTTGAATCTTCAGCACCCGATGAAGAAACTCGAAATGGGTGAACATCTGGCGAGTCTAGGCTGCTGCTTTCAGGAGATGATGCAACAACAACTCCTCCGACTGAGCTCACCATTGTTGAACCTCTACTTGGCTGGAAAGCGCTCCTAGCCTCGAGCTGAAGTGGGGCCAAACTTGAGGAAGAAGTTTCTGTGAAAACTTTCCCTGCTGAGACCCCAGCAGCAGTTACAGGCTGCTCCATTGGCAAATCAGCTGGAAGTCTGACCCTTTTGCTAACTCGTCTTCTATTGTTGTCAGGTCTTGGGACCATGCGGCGCCCACTGCTACCAAAGCTGTTATCTCTCTCTAGTGAGAATGATGGTTCCTGTCTCATCACAGGTTGAAGGATTTTGGACTTCTTTCTGGCCTCAGCAGCAGCTTTTGAGACCTCATCAGCATTCAGTCTAGCCAATGCCCAAGGACTGATCTTTACAGCAGCTGGGTTCTTTTTCTTCATCTGGTCTTGTCTGATCGTCTTTTTACCATAGGAACTCACGGATCCAGTGTCCGGTGGAACAACATCAAACTGAGAATAGTGATCAGCAGAATTCAGAAAGATCGGATCATTTGAGATTTTCCACTTGCATTCCAAGTTAATAGAAAAATGACATCAGACATCATGATGCGTAAGGTTACCTGGTCTTCAAGAAACAGACGAGGTGGCGTACACCAGGCACCACGGTGGAATGTCGAGAAGGAACTGGCACTACTAAGTCCAGTAAGCGAGCTGACTTGCGACATTTGAGGACTCTGCTGACCTCCAACTCCTTGCTGCTCTTGGTCCTGCTCTCTCAGAGCTATTATGTAATCATAAGTGCTGATTCCCTGAGGCATCAGGATTACTTGTGTTAATCAGTCATCAGCTTGGCTAGAGATTTCTAGTAAAAACACTAGCCCCACAACCCACTACCCACATTTGTTTTAAAACATGACTTAGTTTATCAAAGAACTGTATACTAAGCTCAAAGTGAGACTAGTTAACCTTTTTTATGAGCAAGATATGGAAGAAGAACAGTTGGGCCAGGGGCAGAGTTGCAAGCATGGCCAAAATGGTGCACAATGCCTGCAAAAGCAAATGGGAATCATATGCTAATGAAGTTATAAAGATAGGAATTTGTTAGTAATGAGTAACAGACAGGTGGTCTAAATTCAAGTTAGCAAGAGAAAAGATCAGCAAGCAAACTCACCACTACAATTACAAAAGGCACCATAGAAAAACTGCTTCCTAACTTGGAGGAGATATCCAAGACAAATCGCTTCCTCTCGACGAAACAGCAAATAAGTACAAGAATCCCAGTTGCCCATTGGAATATAAGCTGTAAATCTCAAGCCCAAGGAGCAGGAAACCATGTAAGAATCAATCAAAACTGTAAATGACTTGGAAGGTAAGAGGCTACTGTAGATTCTGGCACTTACCAAGAGGAGAGCAGAGACCATGAGCGTGAAGAACTTCCTGTAGTTCTTCTTCCCTATACAATTGTTAATCCACTGCAAAAACCAATGGCCTCAAAATCAATTAGATGGACAAAGACAAAGTTCAAAGCTTTTTCAAACAATTAAGAACCTTGCATTACCCTGCAGTGATGGTCAAACTGGTCAACACATTTATCGCAAACTCTACAATGCTTGCTGTACTTGAAAACCTGGTCCAAAACCATAACCCAATAAGCAGATGTCTCCATAAATCTTCCAAGAACTGAGCTTAATAATTTATTACTAACCTCAACTTCACACAAACTGCAGTAAAACATGCCATCTTCACTCAACTGCTCAGAGTGTTCATCACTTGGGCTGCACCTTCCACAGACGAAAGCACAAGGAGCAAGAGCTAACAACAAACAAGAGGACTTTGCCTCAGTCTCGTTCTTTGAGTCCGTTGCAGCTGCAGCTGCATTTGCACCCTCCACCACACCCTTCTCCACTGACTTCCCTCCAATGGCAGATGAATTCCCATCGTGCATTGATGAAGCTGATTCCGTACCTTGTTTGAAGGCTTTATGCTGAGGATGTTTCTCATTCTCTGGAATTTTAAGATATTTTTTGGATCTAAAAACTCCAGGATCTGCAGGATCAGATGCTGCGCACCAAATATATAGGCCGAAGACACACATGATCTGGAAAGGAAAGCAGATGAAGCTCAAATACATGACTGAATTCAATGACCTTTGAGGAACAACGATTATTAGCTTGCAAGTGTAAAATTGAGCTAAGCAGAGATTATTGTACAATAGCTATGTAAGTTCATTCAGAAGTCAGTGAAAACTGACAGCTAAAAGCCATTTTTCCTTTTTGCTAATTACATATTACCAAAACATAGATGAGAAAGTAGAGACAGGTTACATTGGACTAATCTAATCCACGAGATGAAAACATGTATTAAAACAACAGTACCCCAAGCAACATAAGGAACCATCACAATCACTAAGCCACCAAAGAAACTCCAGCAACCCCAAATGACAAATCATAATTAGTCTTCCAATTACTCGAATTTCTGCTCTTTTGAGCTCCTTCATGTTGACTGATTGGTACGTCCCAGAGCATAGTTTATTAGAGAATCCAATGACTTCAGACCAGCAATATCAAAACGCGTGATTAGGTTTCAGAAGCTCCAACCCCAAAAGACATTCATTAGCTGAAAATTCAAAAATAGGCATATAGGAACAACAAGAGAGACAACAAGAAAAAGACAGATAGGGATTTAATAAGAGACAACTCGGGAATAAGTATCCACAGATAGAATAGATCTCAGCAAACAAACCTTGCAGGGAAAAAAGGGGGGAAAATGAACAAAAGTGGAGAATGGAAAAGTAGAAACGGGAGTTTACCAAGGGGGTGTAGATTCCCATTGCAATGTATTGAAACATCTTCCTCCCAACAAAAGGAGCGAAGAACACATAGAACGCAAAACCCAGAGCCAGAAACACAGCAACAGCCACCACCTACACCATAAAGAACCAAGAAGTTCCAGAACACTCAGGATTTCAACAAAGATGCAATCTTTTTGAACACAAGTTGCATAATTTTCAGTTAAAAGGAGATACCTGAAGTGGGTGATATGGAAGTTGCCAACCATTCTTCCTCATCTTTTGCTCTAAAATGCAGAATGGGGAAATGAAGAAATCTCTCTACTTGGGGAAAGAAGGAACCAGCTCTGGGTGGGGGTTTTTTCTTCTCACTCACTCACTTCCCTTTCTTTTCCTTCCCCTCATTTTCATCTAAGACAAATACTGTTCCAGTCATTCCACCGCATTGCCCACCAGCCAAACAAAAAAAAAGGGCAAGAAACAAAGGAAGGGGGGAAGATAAGGGAAAGTTGGGTGGAGGAGGAATGATGGGCAATGAGGGTGAAAAAGAAACAAACTTTGTTGTCTGGTTTCACTTAATCATTCTGCTTCATGGCTCATGGGATGTGAGTAGAGAGAAGGGGAAGAGAAGAAGGAGAAATGCAGCAAGGCCCCCTCAACCAACAATGAGAAATGAAGAAGAAAAAGTCTTTGGCCTGATTTCTGAATTGGGTTTTACTTTCTTTCCCTTCTTTTTTTTTTATGGTTCCTTGTTGGATGTGCAACCTAAAAACCTTTTCCCCCTTTGTTCTCAGACTGTGACTCTGTGAGAGAGGAAAACAGCACAGTGAGGAGAGAAAAAGAAAGAACAGTTCTACAGAGGGATTCTTCTTCTGGTTATTTTTTGTTTTGCTTTTTCTCATGTGCCTATAATTACTCTTCCTCTACCTCCTCCTTCAACTCCCCCTTTTCAATTGTTTGCTTCAACTTTTTTTTATTAGTTGGGTTTTGCGTTACCTTTTTTCTCTGGGGCAAATCATCATGTGTCACGGACCCAATGCAACAGACAGACCAGTTGTTTTCGGCTTTTCTTTCCTTCGTTTTCTTTCTCTTTTTTCTCTGTCTTTCTCAAGTTGTTCTAAATTATTATTATCTTCATTCTTTTCTCTTTTATATTTTGGTAGGATCAATTTTTTTTGGGACACAAAAAAAGACATCTTCCTTGGAGATTACGGGGTTTGATTGTACTTTAATTAATGCCGACGGCTTAGTACTTCACTCTTTTTCAACACACAATGGTTAGCTAGTGCCTAGTAGAATAACTAGTAAGAGATGCTTGTTTCGTATGAACATGGGAGATGGTTTACAAATTTTACTTTGCAATCTAGAGAATGATTGACAAGTTCGAATTGATTATGTATTTCAGAAGGCAGACTTTATAGCTGATTATTGGATTGTTCCAACACATAATTTTTCCAGAATACAGGAGTATCATTCTAGCTTATCCTTTTAGTGTGTCATTTTATATGGAAATATGACTATAATAAAAAAATCCATTAACAATGCCAAGTGTATCTAATAATTCAGTTATTTCTTATATTATATATTTTTATATTCATTTCTAAAATTCACAGTTATGTTTGTGAAATTGTATCTAATTTAGAACCGGTAAGACTAACGATTCAAACTATAATAGAGGTACAATAACAAAATCATTAGAAGAACATTTTAAACGGTCATGATTTGGTATTTAAATACATAATTTAACCAGCACAACCAACTAATAGGATATGATAGCACTTTCTAACAATCTAAATCAAAATATAGGAGATAAGTGGATCTCATTTGCTATGTTTGTAATGAAATGTTTGAGTGTACTCACCCAGGAAAATGTATATTACTGTGTTTCCCTTTTCTCATCTTATGGATGATTATTAAGAGTTTGCTTCATGTGCAAATCTTGTATCTATTGAAAATTGCCAAAATGAAGTGGTGGGGAAAATCAAGGGGCCCTTTTGCCATAAAATGTGGTTCATGGGGTGCACATAGTTAAAAAAAAAACGTAGACTTAGCACTTCAAATAGTTGTTCACCATGAAATGGAATGCATATTTTATGGTCAACTTTTCATCAGCCGAAAATAATCAACCAAATACTGAAATGTTATGTAATTCGTCTACTCGTATTACTTTAACCAGCCAATGACTATAATTCAAGATTGTCAAATCGTTTTACACAGTTACGCTAGTTTAGCAAGTGGTTTGGTTCGATTGCGATACAGCCAATTTATATGCTAGTTTATGCTGATTTTACCAAAAGATATGAGGCAGTGGGAAACAGTTGACATCCAGTGAACTATGCATTTTTTAAAAAAGTGAACTTTGCATTTTTATAGTCTTTCAATCTACATACAATCTCCATTCATATTTAAATAAAATATCACATTACAAATAAAATAACAAATCGTCATATTTAAATGCAACATTTAACGTCAACATCCAAATGTGTATACTTGAATTCAATAGATAACATCGGCATCTTAATGTTCATACTCGAATCAACAAATTTCTTTCTTTTTTTTTATTTAATTTTAAAAAAACGACATATTGTTGTTTAGGAGATCACAAATTGAATGTTCTAGCAAGTATCACCCTTTTCTCAATTTTGATCATTTTTACCGGTTTTAACTACTGCTTCCAACCGACTTTTCTTCAATATCTGTTGAACCCAATTATACCAGTTTACATACCAGTGATTTTTCACAACCATACTATAATTAATCTCAACCATATGAATCACCCGAAAGTTCATTTACACAAATTAGAAATGAAACGTTGAATAGTAGAAGAGGGGTTTGAGAAGAAAGCAAAATGGTTGAAGAGTGAAATCACGGAGAACCCAAAACCCAAACAATTCAATGACACTATTATTATTGTTTATTTCTCCTTTTGAGCCCTTGTCCCTATCATTACTCTCATGGGCATGGGGTGGCTGCCTGCCTTTCTCGGCTTGTAAGAAAAAGAAAGAAGAAAGGAAATGGATTCATTCATTTATATCCCCTTTGCAAGAATTCGACAAGTACCTACTTGTATTTAATGTTGTTTGTTCTTTTGTTACATGTTTTTATTTTTAATAAATGAGATGGGGAAGGAGTGGTTGATGCCTAGCCTAGAGAGAGGGTTTTGGTTCTACCCATGTGTGTTTGCTTCCAAAATTCACAATTTGGTGAATTGTTTTTTGTCTTTTGTGTGCAATTTCAGGGTTAATGACAGAAATATTGTTTTTTTTTTATTTACCACGAATAAGGCCAGTTAAAAACTATTGACAAAGATATTGTGTTTTAGAGATAAGAATCGGCGGGGACACCTGAGACTCAGGCGCTGCCGCTTAAGCTTGGTTTTTGGACCGTTTTATTTAGTTGGCAGCGGCGGCGCTCAAGACTCAGGCGGTGGCGCCCGAGACTCAGGCGGCGGCGCCCGAGACTGAAGCGAGTAGGTGGGAAATCAAGACTCCGGCGATGGCGCCCGAGACTGAGGCGAGTAGGTGGATTGGCCAACCACCCTATAAAACCCAGACTATTTCGTTTCAGATTCACACCACAAAAAAAATCGTCCAAAAATAGAGGAGAGAGCTCTGGTTGCTGCTGCAAAAATGGCTAATAGGTAAGAGACACATTTATTTTTGTAATTATATTATTCAAATGCTATTATGATTGTGTTTAGTTTTTAATTAGTGAGTTTGTTTTTTGTAGTGATTTTAGAAGATTTGAACTAGTTGTTCGGTGGAAATCGGAGAAAGTAGAGGATAATTTGGGCGTCAAATTCGTTGGTGGTAGTAGTTTTCAGTTGACGGTTCCATCCAGAGTCACATATCACAAACTTTGTGAGACTCTAATTCCGAGAATACGGCGCAGAGACGAAGCAGTAAAAGATAGTGATGTGATCACAGGTTTCACTTACCGTCTTCCAGAATGGCAGAATGATGTATTATTTCATTATGCGTTACCTATTGTGGATGATGATAGTTTGGATGTGCTTTGGAATTTTATGGCACAAAATCCTTATTGTTTGGGTGCTGAGATACATGTTGAGCTCAGTGATGATCAGGGTGGAGAGGAAGAAGATGATACATGGAGCGTGCCATCCGATCATGACTATGATCACGGTGATGACGGAGAGGAGGAAGATGAGGAGGAGGAGGAGGAGGAGGAGGAGGAAGGAGAGCAGCTTAATTATCCTCCATATTTTTACTTGCAGGGCAATGAAGAGGACGAAGAATTTGCACTTGCTGATTCATATGGCGTAATTCCAATGCCTATTGTTGATAGTTTTGAAGGAGAATTCTACAAGGGGCAGATATTTCACTCGAAACAAGCTGCACAGATGGCGATTAAACACCACGCACTACAACGCAACTTTCAATATGGCGTGGTGGAGTCGTCACCTTCAATATGGAAGGTCAGATGCTTGAGGCACAAGGATGACAATTGTCCTTGGATGGTGCGGTTTGGATGTCGAGATGTTGGGGGCGAATGGACTGTGAGAAAAGCTGAGTTGGTGCATTCTTGTAGCAGTACGACTCAACCGACGGATCATCGCCATCTTGATGTCGACATGATATCTGAGGCCGTCAAACATTTGGTACGTGCCCAACCAAATCTGAGTGTTCTAACTGTTCAAGCCGAGTTGAAAGATAAGTTTAATATGCAAGTTACTTACAAGAAGGCTTGGTATGGGAAACAAAGAGCATTAGAGAAGTTGCATGGAAATTGGGAAGAATCCTACGATTTTTTGCAAACATTCTTGCGGGTGGTCAAGAGAAAAATGCCAACATCGGTGATTGATTGGGTAACAGTTCCTTCGACTCAACCCGGTCATTCAATATTTCAGCGAGTATTCTGGGCTTATGGACCTTGTATAGATGGATTCAAGAATTGTCCAGGCGTCATGGTTGTGGATGGAACATTTCTTACTGGGAAGTATAAAGGAGTGCTACTCATGGCGAGCTCATTTGATGGCCGGAGGAAGATTTTTCCAATTGCATTTGCCATAGTGGAGAGCGAGAATACTGAGAGTTGGCCATGGTTCATGAGGAAGGTTCAGGGTTTGACTGATCGAAATGATGTATGCATCATCTCAGATAGACATGCAGGACTCTATGAAGCCATGAATAACATCGGGCGGCGGCGGGTCAGTCAAAGGCGGTGGTGCTACTGTCAAAGGCGGCGGCGCCGAGGTCTGGGACGGCGGCGCTCGTGTCTGCGGCGGCGGCGCCGAGGTCTGGGGCGGCGGCGCCGAGGTCTGGGGCGGTAGCAGTTGCGGCGGGAGGCAGTGGGTCTCTCTGGTTCGCAGGGTTGGGGGGAGGAAGAAGAAAGGAGTTCGCGGGTTGAGGGGAGGAAGAAGAAAGGAGGAGGAGGATGTGTGTGGTGTGGGAGGGGATAAGGTGGGAGGGGATAAGGGGGGGACCGTCCGAATTTTAAAAAAAAAGGGTCCAGGGCGCTCCCGCCTGAGTCTCGGGCGCCAGCGCCTAGGACTAATTAAACAATTTATCTGAGGCGGGGCCGCTTGAGACTGGGGCGCCAGCGCCCAGGACTGGGTAAAATATCAGTCCCGCCTGAGTCTCAGGTGGTCCCGCCCCAATCCTTACTAAAAAACACAATATTTGTGTCAATAGTTTTTAATATTTAATATTAGTGGTAAATTAAAAAAAAACAATATTTGTGTCATTAATCCGCAATTTCAATTCTTAGAGCTACTATAGGGGGGAAAACTGCAAGATAGAAGGGATAGGCGATAGCTTCACCTAAAACAAGATGATATATTACTAGTGGAGGATGTAATAAGGTGCTCAATTTCTTATGGTGGTTTTGGTGAGGGATGGAATGGTGAAAATATTATCATTTATATAATAAATTGTTTTGCTTATAGAATTATAAACTCATGTGCATTTGGGGCTCGGTGGATTAAAAGTAAAAAATAATTGATTAAATTTGGAAATAATCGTTCACTCTCA